TTGGCCGAAGCAGTGACACATTCTGCTGTAATGTTCCTGATAAGGTTACTACCTTTGTGAAAGCTCCTTATTGCAGCTTCTTTGTTGTTTTGCTGTTACAGGATCCTGGTGTTGACCAGGATCCTGTAACAGCAAAACTGCTATTTTCTTCCCACTTTATAGTTATGATTTTTTGTCAATATGTGCATCACATACCCCCCCCCCCCCCCCAAAAAAATAAAATATACTGATTTTGTGGTTATAATAAGACAAAATGTTAAAAAAAAAAAGTAAAAGAGCTATTCATATTTTCAGAAGGCAATGCAAACGCTAGAAGTGTTCTTTTAAGACCAAGTCCTTAATGATAAAAATATGTCTGTGCTGTCAGGATATTTCAGTCTCAAACCCTGTGAGCCAAACAACACTGATGTTCATTCAGGACGTCCCTGCAGCTGTCTTGAATGAGCAGGGCATGCTGACCCCCCCACCCTGAGCATTTGTGCCCACTCGTTTAGGTTGGCACCCACCAGAGCCAAAGCTATCAGTCACTGACGACGATGACAACTGAAGTATGCGCAGGGAGGAGTTTGGTTTCTACTTTGGTAAAAGCCACAGGATGAGGCACATGCCTGTTCACACATAAACTGCCACTGTACATTCTCTTCACTTGTCTGTTATCCATTAAAACATCAAAACAGACACAGCTGCTACCACAGGGCACCGAGAGAGGGTCTCTCTCTGCTGTGATTTTTATAATTAACTCATTACAATCATTTATTAACTAGTAATACCAATGATTTTTGTATTGTGGTAAAAAGAAGAGAATTTGTGGTTTACATAATAATGTGTAGGAACAGGACAGGCATGTGTTTTCAGCCCCAATCTGATATCCGCTTTTAAAATTTAGTGCAAATAACCACCTTTACATCTCACTTATTTATGAAGAGATTTAATCTGTGCATCATTTGATAAGACTGTGGTAACTCTCTGGGAGCTGCAGAGATCCCCAGCTCAGGTAATAGGATCTGTCATACAGATGTGCAGAGCAAAAATCCAGCCGGTATGGAAGAGTGGTTAGCAGAAAGGTTATTTTTTTAAAAAGATCTAAGGAAGATTTGCCCAAAAGTTTGCCAGCAAACTGGAAACAATATCAAACACTGAGATGAGAACAAATTTGAAGTGTTTGGTTAAAATGAGAAAAGATTCGAGTGACAGAGAACTAAAACTCCAGTGGCGAAACACGGTAGTGGCAGCATCATCCGGCAAATGGTCAAAAATGAGAGTAACATAGATGGAGGTGAAAACGGATAATGAAGCCACTTATAGTTAATTTAAAGTCTTTCTCGTTGTTGTTATCACATGAAGTTCTGTTAAAAACACTAATATTTGTTGTTTTACTTTGATCAAATGTCTGGAAGTTGAAGTTGATTGTAAAAAATCACCATAGATTCTATGACTCCTCATCTCTCAAAGACAATTATTAATTAGGATGAGAGGCGTCAGTTTGGAAGCAAAGTTATGTTGCTTCCAGAGGCGCCTTGCCTCCTCCTCTTCTCTTTCACCCCACTGCTACAGATCTGTTAGTCAGGGGCTGGGGAGTTTTCAGTCTCCCGGGGCCAATCCCTCTGAACCGCCTGCCAAGCTTCTCCCCTCTATCCTCCCTACTCTTTTTTTTCCTTCTTTCCCACTTCTTCTACCCCTCATGTTGAACTTTCTCCTCCTCCTTGACCTCTTATCAACCTCTGCCTTTTTTCCCTCCACTTTCACCCCAAAATATTTCTCTTGACTCTCACCCTCCTAACTTATTTCCCCTTCCCATCTCTTCTGTTCCCTCCTGCTTCCCCTTGTCCCAACGCAGCGATCCGGCCCCTTTGCAGCCGTGCATAATTAGGCCTAAACACAGGCCTGTGCAGGCTCACATCTGGAAGAAGTTTGGACATGGCAGTTTCCTACCAAGTCAACTAAATATTTAGGTTGAGAGTTACTGCATGTGGATGAACTCATGATAGAAGGGGTGGGAAGAGAAGAAAAGTGGGGAGCAGCAGATAAAGGAAAATAGGGGAGACAAAGGTTCTGTATTCACAAAGTCAAATAAGAGGAAGTTTGCAACAAGGAGGCGGTGTGATTTAAGAGCAGCTCAGACCCTATTAAGCTTAAGTAAAGAGGTGACAAAAGTGGCGAGACTACTTGCTCCTTTTTGGCTGGCAGGAACAACAAACAGCCAGCTAATAGTTTTAATAAACAAATCCCCATTGGGATTTCCCATGATGCTGAGGGGCCTCAGCTGGAATGTTCACCGGGGGCCAGCTGTTGTGCATTACACGATGCAGTCGGCTCCGGAAGCCAAGGACCGGCTGTCCTCCAGCCTTCGCCTGCAACACTTGGAGAAGAGCTTTTCTCCAGACAAGCCTCAGCAGAAAGGACTCCTCGAACCGGGTACAGAAAAAGTTTCCCTGTCGCACCTGGGGTAGTGTCTGCAGGCTCAGGGCAGACTGAGGAATGCCAGGAATAACACAAACACTAACAAGAGCTCCATAGCATTCCACATCTGGAGCTAATGTCACGAGCTGTGCTGGGAACGCTGGCATTCAAAGGGCCCACTGAATGCATCAGGAAAACAAAACCTTCCAGACGCTGCTGTTCTCAGGCAAGGTAACAAAAATGGAGCGCCAGATTGTTTGCGCCTTGTGAACGTGCCACAAAACGCCAAGCGGCTGCGGAAAAACAACCCGACCAAAATTAGTAGGTGCGGGAAAAGAAAATTATCTTCAATCACCTCAACCACTGCCAACCCAGCCATTCCGTCCTCCACATTTCAGCAATGTGTTCCACAGATGTTTGTCTTGCCTTTATTAAGCAAAAACACGAGGCCCTATAAATGGACATGTGGCTGGATCATGGCCTCCTGAGACCAAAATGTCCATACTTTACCTCATATGCTTGCTCCAATGCAATATAATTTGCCCCCTCAAAGATTTCCTCTACATTCTTATATCTTGTAACATCTAAAATGTTTCAGATTTCTAGATCAATTTTAATTACAGACAAAGATAACCCAACTAGCAACAGAATGAAATATGCCATTAATTAAGGGATAAACTTTGAGTCTCCACATTTTCTGGTTTAATTTATACTTTTACCCTGATTACAGTCAAACCTGTTGAATGAAGAAATATTTTAACCAGAGTTTGTCTGACAACAGGAAATAAAATAAACTAAGACATTCAGCTCTTAAGAAATTTCCAGATAAATTTAGACACAAAGTCTCTGACATTAATTAGCTGCTTTAAAAGTTGTGGAAGGTGCACCACCCATTCCATCTGGTGCATTAAACATAATTGATGAAACCATGAACTGTGCTCCCCAACAATTTATGAAGTGGGTCAAAATCCTGAAAGTGACAAGCATGTCAACCTCAGAATGACAAAAAATAGGTTCTGGAGTGGCCTAGTCAAAGTCTGTTAAATGACTGTCTAACAAAATACCTGTTCAGCAATGGTAAAGACTCTTTTTTTGTGTGCAAATAATGGCACAACCCCCAATAAAGTCAGGCAGCAATGCCTTTTTTTTTGCATTGAGGTAAGTTGGTCTTGATATTTTTTTTTATCTTAAATCATAAATCAAGATTTGTTTGAAGAAGAAAACATTTAAGATTTGTAGAAGATAAAGAAATCAAATAACAAATATCTCTGTGAGCAAATACATTTTTGCATCCTTATAAAAAAAATGTTGCATTTCCTCCACTTTGCAAGAGTAGAAAAAGAGCAGCATAGTGTGGGAATGAGCGATGATTTAAGAAACTCTGAGCAGCAGATAATAAAGGTCTGCTTTGCAACAGATCAAAACACCACCCCAAAATATGTGTCACTAACAGATCAGCAATCTATCAGGAATGATAGTGTGTTTTGGCCCATGTCGAGGCCCTTTAAAGTTTGCTCCAAAAAAGACCACACAACTAAGTGCCTCTTAATTAAAAATATAGAAGTGAACTGGCCCAGAATCAGTGGTGTTCTCGCTCTCAGAAGGAGACGGAGAGACAGGGTGTTGCTGTCTTTAAAGTGAGAGCCAGGCCACCAGTTCAAGCACTCTGATTTAAAACACCCACAGTGTGTTTCAATTTATTTCTGTTTTTTGCAAAGCCAAGATCAGCTGGACCATGTGTGGAGGTGGTCGGCCGAGGAGTTAGCTGAAAGCAGAGGGGTCTGGCTGAGGCAAATTTAAAGTGACAGAGTTGTGTCAAAGAGGCCGGACCTGATGATGATCACAGAACTCCTTAATGCTTTGCAGAGAGGAACTACTAAACCCTTCACTGCTACATGAGAGCAGATCAAGAGCAAAACATCTGACCTTACAAATTGTATGATGGCTACAGGGTCTCAGCATGATCTGACAGCATGGATGGAGACCTGACTGGATACAAACACAGATCTTTAACATGTCCCCTGTGCTTTACTAAACCTTAAACATCCATATAGGTGTTGCTTTTGATAGAAAAAAAAAGCAGAACAGACTTGTTGAAAATAATGCATATTTTTAAAAAAATTCTCCAGTTGGTTTTAGCTCTAGACTTGGACTGGGCCATTTAACATATTAAAAGAGTAACTTGCTGATATGGGAGAGACTCTCTCCTGGTTTCAGGTCTAGGGTTTTATCCAGAATTGCCCTTTATTTACCTCAATCCATTCTCACAGAAAGGCTGAGCAACTTCCCTGTCTGTGCTGAAAAACAGGGGTTCCCACAGCATTATGCTGCCAACACTTTGCCTCACAGGAAGGAAGGCCTCTTCAGGAAGATGACAGGAAGTGACCGTTTTTTTTCCAATAGATTTTGAAAATACAAGTAAAACCTTTTGCAGTTTTCAGCAACAAAAGAAACTTTTCAGACCAAAGTTGCATGAGAATGTAGGTCTAAGAATGGCAACTCTGGAATTAACAGTGATTATTCCTAAAATGAAAAAATAAATCATGCAGACTTGGAAAACTTTACTTTACTTTGCATATGAGTATTAGGAGATAACTTACAGAGTGACCGTCCTGTTGGGGAACAAGCTGAAGTCAGGAAGTTCCACCAGCTCCTCCTTGCTGCAGCTCACCCTTCTGCCCACAGGCTGAGCCCCGTGCGTCTTGGGGCGATCCTCCGCGCAGCTGCAGCCGTTGGTGGAGGCAAGCGGCCCGGGGCAAACCTGGACGAGTCCCGCTCCGCAGGTTGGCAGAAGCAGCAGCATCAGGACCAGATGCCCCGGCCACAGAGGGATGCCAGCTGCGGGCGCAACCATTGTCCTTCGCCTGGATCTCACCTCAGCTGCACCCCCGCCTCCAGTCATCCCATAACTCCACCGTGAAGATCTCGGTTGGAGTTTAAAAACGGGAGGAGAAGACAACTGATCCTGTGGGGCTTAAATAAATGAATGAATTGTAAAAGTCAGTCACTTAACAATGAACTTCCATCTCATCCGGTCATCACAGAAACATTCAGAGACGCTGATTTCCCAAATGTCCCGTTATGTCATGGCAGCCTGGGCGCACGGCTCCCCTTTGCTCCAAAATGCTCATAGATCCAAAGTAGTGGGGTCCATCCAAGAGTTACCAACGACTATAATAGCGTTTGCTTTCAGAATCATGGAGGCATATAGACTAAAATAGATTTACTCTTATTTTAGGATTCATGGGAGTGTCCAAGTTACCGTTATCTTTCCTGCTGAAAGTCAATCAGCGCTGATTTACTGCAGAACTGACGCACATAGAGTCCGAGTCACTGTTATTTCCAAAGGAAGCAATGAATAAAGTCCGTTCTGCAACTTTCCTGTCTTGTTTCGAGACTTTTTTCAAAGTTTTCCTCGCTTTTCTCCTCGATTCTCGGGAGGTCTCCGCACTCTCACGCACGGCCAACCTGGATTTAAACTGAAAGCGGAAAACAGAATAAAGAAGGAGGTTTGGTCCTCATCTGCTCCACTGAAAATTCTCAAAATAAAGTGAGGATTTGTATGTATGCCTCAGTCAGTCTCCAAACTCCCTCAGTTGAGGCTATACTACCCAAAGTGCGCCCATTCCGTTTGCGCTCTGGTCCCCGCGGTCCTAGCGCATACGGATCAACCAACCCAACAGCGAATCAGAACCTGAGCAGGTTTCTATAGGGATATCACCGCCTTTAGCGCCTCAAACATGTATGTTACACTTCCCCTTTAGTCCTGAACACAGCTTGAAATCATAGCTGAAAGAATCAAGAGGAATTTGAAATGATTTATTCTGCTTTACAATCAATTGTGTCCCTTCTAATTTCATTTCCAATTAGATTAGATTAGATTCAAATTTATTGTCATTACACAGGTACAGGTACAAGGCAACGAAATGCAGTTTAGGTCTAACCAGAAGTGCAAAAGCAGCAAGTTCAGGATAAATAATGGTTCCATAAGTACAGGTAATATTCAGACAAGAATAATACTTTAGAAGAACGTTATTGATGAATTTGAATTCTGCGTTATTTCCATAAAGGTGACCTCAGTTCATGACAAATGCTTTTAAAACAGTCAATCAAAAAAGTTAAAAACCAATATTGTATAGATATATCATGACATAAGAGTATGATAATAAAATACTTCAAATCAATTTGTCATGAAAATAAATGTAAGAGCAAAAAATAAAAATAAAATGTTTAAAATGGCCAAATATAATCATAGACTTAACAGTTGTCTACAAGACAGTTGCTCCCTTATTAATTATGGTAAGATATGAAAGTCCATTATCAAAGCAAATGAATGGAAAGTTTGTTGGATGGAAAAAGTGTGGTGGAACAATCTGCACAGGCTACAGGGGTTATTGAAGCCTTGAAAACATTCCAAAGAAAAGAAAAGTTAAGAGTCTGGGAGAGATTCATAAGGCAGGATTGCAGCAGGAGTCAGAACTTTAATAGATACAAGGGCTAAGGCTTTTACATCCAGTGGCAATCTCACAAGCATCCTACTACTGCTAAGGTGAGAAGGGACTGGTTTGGTTGAGCGATCCAAAAGTCTAAGTATCAGAGTCTATGTTAGGAGCAGAAAAGTAGTTGTGTTCCTCAGTGATTATTTTAAGAAATATCCCATCTACTGCTATAGATTCAATGTGTCCAAATTCAGCTCATATTGGAATTATTGAAAAACCTCGTCATTCTCTGTGTAGAGAAACTTTATGGGGATATTTGATGCTTTTTTTTGGATGCTGGTTTTATTTCTCTTCAGGAATTGGCACTTCCCTACACTGTCAAAAGTGCTAAAACCTTCTTAATGAGCCTTCTTAATACTAACCTGCCCTGAAGCTTATGAAGACTCTGTGTGGTTTTGTAAGAGGAAGATTTGATTCACCAAACCCAGCATTGCAGACAGGTTGAAGGCTACAATCGAAGCAAAAGTAGCACTCAGCGAAACCACAGGCTGAGATCAATCATTATAATGCCAAGGTTGGGTGGAGGTTGTGGATCCAAATGCAGAGATGAGGAGGCAGAAATGAGTTCCTGCAGATTTAATGCAATAATTTATGGCAACTCAAATCCAGGAACAGAAAACCAGGAAACACCAGGGAAGTAACAAAGAGAAACCAGTACTGAGGAGTTCCACAGGAGGAATATACACTATATTGCCAAAAGTATTTGCTCACCCATCCAAATTATTGGAATCAGGTGTTCCAATCACTTCCATGGCCACAGGTGTATAAATTCAAGCACCTAGGCATGCAGACTGTTTTTACAAACATTTGTGAAAGAATGGGTCGCTCTCAGGAGCTCAGTGAATTCCAGCGTGGAACTGTGATAGGATGCCACCTGTGCAACAAATCCAGTCGTGAAATTTCCTCGCTCCTAAATATTCCACAGTCAACTGTCAGCTGTATTATAAGAAAATGGAAGTGTTTGGGAACGACAGCAACTCAGCCACGAAGTGGTAGGCCACGTAAACTGACGGAGCGGGGTCAGCGGATGCTGACGCGCATAGTGCGAAGAGGTCGCCAACTTTCTGCAGAGTCAATCACTACAGACCTCCAAACTTCATGTGGCCTTCAGATTAGCTCAAGAACAGTGCGCAGAGAGCTTCATGGAATGGGTTTCCATGGTCGAGCAGCTGCATCCAAGCCATACATCACCAAGTGCAATGCAAAGCGTCGGATGCGGTGGTGTAAAGCACGCCGCCACTGGACTCTAGAGCAGTGGAGACGCGTTCTCTGGAGTGACGAATCGCGCTTCTCCATCTGGCAATCTGATGGACGGGTCTGGGTTTGGCGGTTGCCAGGAGAACGGTACTTGTCTGACTGCATTGTGCCAAGTGTAAAGTTTGGTGGAGGGGGGATTATGGTGTGGGGTTGTTTTTCAGGAGCTGGGCTTGGCCCCTTAGTTCCAGTGAAAGGAACTCTGAATGCTTCAGCATACCAAGACATTTTGGACAATTCCATGCTCCCAACTTTGTGGGAACAGTTTGGAGCTGGCCCCTTCCTCTTCCAACATGACTGTGCACCAGTGCACAAAGCAAGGTCCATAAAGACATGGATGACAGAGTCTGGTGTGGATGAACTTGACTGGCCTGCACAGAGTCCTGACCTCAACCCGATAGAACACCTTTGGGATGAATTAGAGCGGAGACTGAGAGCCAGGCCTTCTCGTCCAACATCAGTGTGCAACCTCACAAATGCGCTTCTGGAAGAATGGTCAAAAATTCCCATAAACACACTCCTAAACCTTGTGGACAGCCTTCCCAGAAGAGTTGAAGCTGTTCTAGCTGCAAAGGGTGGACCGATGTCATATTGAACCCTATGGATTAGGAACGGGATGTCACTTAAGCTCATATGTGAGTCAAGGCAGGTGAGCAAATACTTTTGGCAATATAGTGTATATGGGAGAGAGAACAAAGGGCTAATCAGCTAACAGGGAGCAGGTGTGGATAGAAGCAGCTAGGAGAAAGGAGACTGGCACAAGGGGGCAACAGAGAGCAACACAAAAAAACAAACACTGCTTAAATATAACTAGAAAACAACCAAAATGACACAAAACAGAAAAAAACAATGACCAAAAAAACAGAATGACATAACTGAAAACTCAAAAAGAAGCCCCTAAAGGGGAGAATAATAACACTTACTGTAAGGATCTACTGGAAGTCTCTCATCATATTTTGCACTATATTAAAATGGAAGTAAAATAACATGCAACCAGAAATAGTTAAACCATGATAAAATGAAGGGAAACTGATATAAAAATCAAGTAGCCTTTTAATAAAAGAAAAATATCCTCAATAAACTACAGGTTGTCCTGTTGTTTTGAATGAGCTGTTTCCATCTACAACAAAGGAAGGTCCTGCTTTCAATGTGTGTCTGGACAAGAGGAGCGAAGCAAAGTTATGAATGAAGGCTAAAGCCTCTTGTGTATTGTGTGCCTGAGCAGATCAAAGACCGTCGATTCAATTGGCGGGAAGAGGAGGAAGCAAAGACTTTTATAGATAGGCTGCACTTCACTAATTTCTATATTGTTCCTGGAGAAAGACTTATGATCAAATAGAGGACTGTAAGCATGAAAATGAACAAAGACCGAGACGTAATAATGGTGGTGATAAGTGTTAGTTGGCAAAGCTGATCAAGATGTGGAAACAGTTTCAAAATAAGTACATTTTTTACCAGCATGCATAATCTTACATGAAGAGATTTAGTTTTTGCAACCATTTTCTGTTCATTTTAATTTATTTATTTACCAGGACTGTACATATTAACAACAGAACACCTGTAAACATGTCAGAATTAACCAAAGGCTACTTTTCATCGTAGTCCTGTTTTCCAGCTGTGCATTGGTAACGAGTTATAAAAATATGAATAAAAAAAGGATAAATAAAAACTATATAAAAGGACTATATTGGACCGTTCCAGTATAGAAGCAGCAAGAGAGATATAAGATTATATGGTATATTTATCATGAAAGTAGCAAAGTCAGAGTATTTTTAAGCACAGGCAACAGCAACAGATGGTTTAGGAAAAATATAACAGCAGCAATATATCACACTTTAACAAGGCAAGTAGAAAGATGAAGGAAATAATAGTAAGAAGAAATGTTACAGAATCACGATCATAACTGAAACATAAACTAAAAAAGTTAGTCCATTGTCCTCTAGAACAGTTTACAATACAGAAGCATACAGAGAGGAGTATCTTTGACTTTTTTGCTCTTTTAAGATCCTCCAGAGCCCCTGTCATCTATGTACAGTTTCCTCCCAGCTCATTCCAAAGGTTTCTTATGGGATTTAGTTATGGTCTTTTTCATATTTGGTGAATTCTTCTTAGGGATGGATGACAGTTAAGTTTGTAGCACGTTTGCGTAGAAGCAGGAAACTCCTGAGTTTGCATGTTCAGCCAGAGCATGGTTTAGCCCAGGGGTTTTCAAAGTGGGTGCCGCGGCACCTAGGGGTACCCCGAGGTCACTACAGGGGTGCCGCAGGATTTTTTCATAGTTTGATGAGAGTTTTACATTGAATGTACATTTTTACATTTTAACAATTTTGTAAATTTATTTTGATGTAAGCAAATATATTCTAAGACGAGGAGCTTCATTTTATGTTTTCTTTAATACTTTGAAAAAATGACAGAAAAAAATTTATTATCAAATAATGTCAAATAATCATTATCAGTTTAGGGGTACCACGGCTGGGTGGAAAAATGTGTAGGGGTACCTTGAGCCAAAAATGTTTGGGAACCACTGGTTTAGCCAATGGGAGGCAGATCTTTTAGTTATCAGGCTCCGCTCCTGTGGAAGCAACTACCAGTTGTAGTCTGTGAGGCAGAAACCCTGTCTACTTTAAGGGTAGGCTTAAAACCTTCCTTTTTGATAAAGCTTATAGTTGGAGTGGCTCAGGTTATCCTGAGCTATGATGCTATAGGCTTAGACTGCTGGAGGACTAAGGGACCCCGTTTCATCATTTGGTTTCATTCCAACCCTATTCTCCCATTCTGCAGTAATTGTTAGTTCAAGCTTTAGCGTTATGCTCTCTACTTTCTCTCATTATAGTAGCTTAATCTGGTCTGTTCCTGTTTGGCTGTGACTCCATCCTGGAGAGAAATATCAGCTGTGCTGCTACCATCAACACCTTTGTTTATAGATGTTGGAGCTTGGACTGTTAGTCAGTGTAGTCCCACTTCTCTGACTGTGACTGACTGTATGGGTTTTCTTTCATCCTCCAGCATGAGAGCTGGCTCAGAGCCCGTCTGCCTGGCTGTGTGTTTCCGGAACGGGTTCATCCATGGATCTGGTTGAGAGTTACATTTTGCATCTGTGTGTGTTTAAGTCTCCCTGAACCCCAGTTGGCCTCGGCAGATGGCCGCTCACACTGAGCCTGGTTCTGCTGGAGGTTTCTTCCTGTTAAAAGGGTGTTTTCCTCTCCACTGTCGCAACATGCATGCTTGGCATGAGGGATTGTTGTTGAGTGAATGAGTCGATGCAATCAGCTACTTTTATTCCCTCCAGGCACCCCTTTCAAACTAGGGAAGAGTGATTGAGTAGCTATTTTCTTGTGCCAATTCCTGATTATGGTCTATCATCTTTCCAGTTCTGAAGGGTGACTAAGATAAAGCGGCTGTTTTGCATTATATTTATACCCTCAGGAAAGAAGTCTCACATAATGAATCTTTCCTTCATAGCAAGCCCACCTGGAAGCTTATCATGGTAACAATGCACTTATTACAAGCTTGTTTGCATCAATCAGCGCAGCAGCATAAAGCTAATGCAGTGGGACAGAATGGTTTTTTGTCCACTTTAAACATGCCGAGCTGGAACCAAACATAAATGTTTCAAAGTTGACTGAGATTGAGAGTGTTGCTCTTTGCATACCATATGTTGTTTATGTTGTAAGAGTCAGGGAGTATATGGGCTTACAATGCTTTGATTTAGTCTGGAGCCTACTTTGAAAGAAAAAAAATTATATGCTTAAACATCAATCTTTTGTTGAAAAAACATTGTATTTATTTTTTTTTTTGTTAAATCGAGCCCCCTCTTACTTTCCTTCGCTTCGGTCTGTGGTTCGTTTATTCTCTAGCTTCATGCACGAAAAGCTCCCAAAATACAGTAGGTTATTTCTGTTTTAAAAATACTTTTTGATATACGAGAGGCCCGGGAGGATGGAGACTCTGGCGATTCAAATCTGGAGAGTGTTTCAATATATGAGGCAGTGCAGCAGGAAAGCTTAAAAAAAAAAAGCTACTTCTTGCAATTGGGCTTGACATGTGTTCACTGACACATTCAAACGGCAGGTTCCTCAGTCATGCAAGCAGCCTGGCAGTATATAATAGTGCACTGTGCTCTGACCCCTGCAGCAGACCCCCGGTTTGTTATTCCTGTATGTGATACTGTACTCTGAAGCAGGCTCAGACAGCCAGCGACGTTCCTGAAAGAAAGCACAAGGAGTCGATGGGCGCCTGTTCTGTAATGAAACAGAGGGCTGTTTATCCAAGCTGTTAAATAAGGCTTCAAGTACAACACCACCCCCTCCACCCCCACAAGGCTGAAATCTCTCTCATCTGGAGCGCACAGTTTCCATTTTAAACTTTACGTCCCAAACTACACATTACATCAAATTGTACTTAACGGTATCCAGACAAACTTTAATGTCGTTCCAACATTTTCTCTGCAACAGACCCCCCTCCCCTCTCCTTTCTCCCCACTGTATAGCAAAGCAAGCTCTCCTTTCTCTGCTCCACATCTGGTCTCCATTCCAGGTGAAGAAAGGGAAAAGCTGAGAACACTGGGAGAGAGGGAGGTGAAAAGAAAACAGACTTGGAAGTGCAAAAAAAAAAAAAGTTATAATAACTGGGCTAATATTTGATTTTAGATGGAGGTTATGCAATATTTTCACAAATATGAGAGAGGACGGTTTATAAGAGGCCTGGTCTGTGGAGTTTTATTGTGCTCTTCCAGATGGTGAAGAGGAAATGATCAGCGTATGATGCTGTTTCCTGCTGAATCTGAACAACAGACCAAGTGGCTGCTGAGATGAGGTAAAGCTCAGTATTGTGTTTCTTCCAGAGGATAAACAAAAGAAACTTCCACTCCGGACCCATCTGACTGTTGTTAACCTGATAACACAGGGACATCTAGTGGTATTATATGCAGCACAGCTGTCCAGACCCTCTCAGCTCTTTAGTCACAATCACCACTTCATCAAATACACCTTATTACCAAGTCAGACGTTCTTTTGCTTTCAGAACTGGTTTAATTTTCCTTAGCACAAAATCAACAAGGACATTTTAGACCATATCTGTACGATACCAACACACAGTTGCTGCACATGAGGTGGATATCTCCAATTCCTTAATATGACAAAGATCCAATGATAGAATGAAATTTAGTGATTGTTGGCACAACAAACAACTTGCAATATCCAACTAGAAGCAACCCCCTAGAAGGTGAGTACATCACGGTCAAAAAGGGAGGAATATGGGGTTTTACCAACTAAATTTTATGAAACTTTTGTGAATTTTAGACTCACTTTCCCTTTTTTCTTCAAGTTTTCCAGTGAACTGGAGTGACACCCAGTTTTTTTTCTGTTGCTGTAATCAATTTGTGTCAGAGAAACTTAATGGATTCAGACATTCTGATTGTATGAAATGTCTTGGTTGTAAAAAATGGTTCTCTGCCTCTTTTCACCTTTTTACTATATAGACTCAGACAATAACAAGGTGACATAAAAAATACTAAACATTTAGCCACCAACATGCCACCGCAGTCTCTTATATAATAATTTCCCCAATACCACATTTTCATGCTAAGCCTAAAATCATTTTTATAACATCTAGACCCCTTAATGCATGGAGCCGATTCCAGGTTTGATTTCCCAATTGCATGGTGTGTAAAGCTGAATTTATAGATTTTCAAACTGAATTTCTTTTGAGTTCAAATGTTATGGTTTATTTGCTGTATGGTGTTAACTCGTAGTTTACAGTGTCGTCTTTGTTGCAGCTTCTCCATTTGGGTCCCTATTGCTGACTAACCTCACTTCTTGTTGGAGTTTTGAGTTTAAAATTGATCAATTGGTTTTATAAAAGGTTGACCAGAAGCCCCATTATCGCTATTGATTAATAAAACTGTGCTACATTGTAAGCAAAAGTGTACGAAATATCACCAGCTTACCTGACTCCAGCAACCACATGGATTGGGTCACAATGTTTGAACAAAACACAGGACACGTGGAAGCCCTTACCTTTCTCTCAAGAATTTTCAAAGTTTTCCAAAGATCCCAAGAAAAAAACACTTTTGCAAAACACAACAAAGAAGAAAAATATGTCTAAATGTGATTAGGTGCGGATACCCACTCCCTCTTGCAGCTGTACAGGTATAAAACCATGTCTGCATTGCATTCCTCAGGAGAGGAAGATAAAAGTTCTTCCAGGACAATCTTGGACCGTGTTAAGATTTTTAATGCTACTAAGCCTCTAAACTGGAAGTTCATGGTATAATGGGAAAATTTCTTAAAATTAAACAGAAGATCACACACTTTCCCGTAAAGATAACATGTAAAACATTTAAATTGCAAAAGCCGTTCTTTCACAGAGGTCAGAGTCAGATAGGACAACTGAACAGTTTCTATTTAACAATAAATATATAATTCTCTAATAATTTTTGTAATAATGGAAATAATACAGTAAAAGTAAAAATTAATTGCAGAGCTAAATTAAGCCTTAAAAATACACACATAAAAATGCCAGAAAAGTTAGCAAAATTCAACATTTCTTGAAATTTTTTGTAGGATTTTAGTCATTTGCTGCAATGGCCTTGCTCTGCACACATTTCCCCTCAGTCTGCACATGGATAAAAATATGCATTCAAAACTGTAGTAACGCCGCCACCCTGTGGTCAGTCAACGAAACTGCACAACCATTTTGTGAGAGCAAGCATTGCTTTACATTAAAACCTGGGAGCATGGAAAAAATAGGTTGTTTGTCGTCATCTGTGTTGGATTCAGGAATAGAAGGTGAAATAAGACCAGTTCTAACTCTAACCTGCCAAAGTTCTGCACCACAAACCCAACATTAAACGTGCCAACAAAACCCCAGTATAACAGGAGTTCAACAGCTAATCTGCTGCTCTCAGGCACTTCTTAAATGCCTGCAGAAATATTTTGTTTTCTACATTTGAGGGGTATCAGTGCAGTTTCATGTCAAATTCTTGAAGTTAGTTTGAGAATGTCTGTCTGTTTTTACATATAAAGGATAAGAAATATTTTGAGAGATAAAACAATAAAATACCATTGCTTGAGAATGGATGCTTGTTAGTGGTTACAGATGTGCTTTAATTGTAAGATTAAACAAAATCTAAAGTCATTATGTTTAATTGACACACGATAGATGCTGCCAGCTGTGCAGGTTGAAGAAATATGATCTGAAATGAATCAAATAATAATGAGGCAGGAGATTTTTCATTATTTAAATAAGTGTTTAAACAGTCATAACAGGAGAGGCTTCAAGTTGTGCATGTTTATTATATTCCACAAAAAAAGAGAAAATTAAAGTTCATATCTGAGTACTGCTGGAAAAGGACATGTGCTGCATCATAACTTCTCATCACTCTTAATGTCCCGTGCATACAATATGCATTTTATATGATCTATTATGTAACAATCATCACAAAAATATCAACAATATTTATATATCGAGTGAATATCTTGTTCCTCTAAATTAACAAAAAAGCCAAACAAATCAACATTTTCTCCCCTTTACCAATTCTTATCGACTTATTTTACAAAAAATAGTACAAATTCCAAAGACTTTATTGCCTGAATTTACCGCTCTCCAAAAGTCCAAAAACTTGGCCACCATCTTTTTCCGTCTTTCTCATGTGCAAACACACACAATCATACACACAGAAACAAAGCCAAGCAGAATCCACTTCTCCACATGTGTTCTCCACATGTGTAAGCCTGTATTCACACTCACTCACACTCATACCCACTCTCACACAGCACCATACTGAGCAACTTCAATGCAGCATGCAGAGATGGATATGTATTGGTCCCTTTTTGTCCTCCGAAAATTCAAATGGTGATTGTCCTTCTATTTAACTTTTTCAAAAGCTTTTGTGCCTTGTTAATGGGACCTCAAATAATGACTTAGAGACCATAAAGTATGAACCATATAGTGAAAAACAGCAAATTTCTCAGCAGACAGGAAATTAAAGCGAGAAAGTGTATATTATTAAATTGCAATACTTGATTAAAGATGAGAAATAAGTGAAATGTCTGTCCCCCAAGAATATTTTGTCAAGGTGTATCAGCGAGTCAGATGAGGTGGCGTTTCAGGCAGGCAGCAGCACACTGCATGGTGGATCCGATGAGGAGGGGCCAACTCATTGGCGGGGGGAGACGGTGGTCTGAATGGAGTTGGCTAGGCTCTGGTACCTCTCCTTGGCATGCTTCTCACAATACATTGCATCTCCACTCCAGAAGTGACCTCTCATCTTCAGGTTAAGCCCACAATCTGTGCAAGTGTAGCACTCTGGGTGGCGGAAGCAGTTGTCTGAGATGCGCACTGCCTGTGTCCTGTGGGAGAGGCGGTATGAGGAAGACACGTCAAACACTTCAAAATTCTTATATTGTCCATTTCTTCTAATTTTTTCAGATGACTATTTGACTACATGTCTTGGAAGACAATTTAAGAAGTTTACATATACTGGGCATAAACAAACACCATCTTTTTAGGATGCATTTTAAACGGAACAACTAGGTGCAACACTTTCCAATTATTGTGCATTTTCTGTAATAAGCATAGACTTCAAACCTAAACTTGTACAAACCTCAAGCTTTTTTCTTCCTTAATGAGCTAATTTCTATATAACTGGCTTTAAATCATGGTTGAGAGATGAGAGATGTGGCCCAAAAAATGTGTCACTTTTTTTTGTGGTGGCTAACAGGTTAATTCAGTGCTCTGAAATAATATGACATTTTTTGTTGTATTTTTATCTCCAGAGACTTACAAAAAAAAAAGCTTAAAAAATAGCCATCATCATCCAAAAGGCTACCTCCTTATAGCAGTTATTTTTGCACACAAATCAGTATGCAAAAATAGACCTTCTTATACTAATATTTTATCTACAAACACAATAAGTGTCTTTTTCTAGCAAACAACCTACAATTCATCTGATCTTTATATTACACTTCAGGATGTTTAATGCAAGCGTTTACAAGAATGGTGACTCGTGTTTAAGATAATTAAGCTGTTAATCAGAGGCTTTAGCCCAAAGTGTGAGTTCTGAGGGTGAAGTTTATTTAAAACTGGAAGATGCTAAAACACCCGTACCACTCTTGTTTCACAGGGAGGCAGCTTTTGAACTTTGCATAATGCTTTTTAATCTGAGAGAACAACTAAACTGCCAGTCAGAAGTGACAGAAACTGAAAATATTCAGAAACCATCAATACAAAATATCAAAAATTCGCCATGAGCTGGTAGCTGGTAATGCTAAAATGACTGAACAAGGAACCAGAAAATGGTAGAAATGAAATAGGTCCCTGATCTAAAACAAACATTTTCAAGCTTGACTTAAATCTGTAGCTGGAAATATTTTTTTGGAAGAAATCTTTATAATTCTGATTAATATGATGAAATTATTAGTGGTTGAGAGTAGTTAAAGTAAAAATTTGAACCCTAACCATCAGGTTGGGTAGTGGCAGCATAGTTAAAAGAAATATTTTTTAAATTAAAATTTTCATTATTTTGTGTGTTTGAGAATATGATAATAGCCATAACCAGTCTTATGTTTACATTTTATCACTGCTGCACTTTAAAAAGGGAAATATCTTGAGAGCTGTACTGAATGAAATTTCTTTTTGTATCCACTCTGTGTATAAAATGACAATAAAGTCTAAGTCTAAGTAGAGATGTCCCGATCCAGGTTTTTGCACTTCCGATCCGATACCGATATTGTTTTTGGACTTCCGATCCGATACCGATATTGTTTTTGGACTTCCGATCCGATACCAGCCTATCCGAGCATGTATTTAAGTTTAAGTTAAAGTATTTAGCCTTAGTTGTAAGACTCATGTTGAAAAGGGTTTTAGTACTCTTGATAACATCTAGCCAGCTAAATTAGGTGAGATTGAATAAAACACAATGCTTGGTAACAACAAACTTACCTGTTTATTAAGAGATAAACACAAACTGGACAAAATTATGAATAGCAATCTGAAATTGCACAGTGAACAGTAAAACCGTAAACAGTTAAAGGTGCAAGTATTACTGTAAGTTTTAATAAAAATGCAAAACAGGGAAACACTGGTGCAAAATAGTGGAATGGATCGTTTCTATCGGCGAAACTGGAAAATACGGACAGGATTTTTTTTTTTAAACTGGATCGGCATTTTACATGCTTTGCCGATACGCATTTTTTTGCCAATATCGGCGTCCCGATCCGATACGTGGATCGGATCGGGACAAGCCTAAGTCTAAGTCTAGCCTTAGTTAGAAGTGCGATTTTTACCAGGAAACCAACTATATCTAGTATTAACTCTGCCCTTTCTTATTGGAAATATGTTCAAATGTCCATCCAGAATTCAGCATTAAATGTGTCTCCAAATAGAGCAGTTTATGATCCTGCTAGAAGACATTTAGCCACACATCTATAGGTTTTACCTAATCTGGATCATTTCAAACATGCGTGAAATTCTCAATTTTGAAGTTCATTATGTTCTGTGTCACACTCTCTTTCATGGGAATGTAAACAATGCGTTACCCTAGTGAACCTAGAACTACAGGAGGACTTACACAATGCTTGTGCCACATTTCTCACAGGTGTGCTGTTTGCTGACTCCTCCAACAGATGAGCTTTGTTTTGGGGCGTTGGGGGAAAGCTTCCCAGGGAACCGCAGGGCTGCCTCTGAAGACAAACAGACAGACAGGGTTGTTAAAAAGATGATGTGACAATAAGTTTTCAGATTCAAATTTAAAGAAGAAATTTCTCCTGGTTAATAAAATTCACAGCTGAGGAAGTAATTCCTCTGTTTTTCTGAGATTTTCTAATCTGCTGTTGTGTTTCTTTCTCTTTGCCTTTTTTTTTTTTTTAACGATACCTAATTTATTAAACAACTTATTTTCTCTTCTTTAAATGTCTGAAACCAACCAAAAAAAAAAAAAAAACTACACCTTTCTCATCAGCTTCCAGGACTTCTTGCAGCATTTTAAAGGTGTTTGACTGACGAGGTGCTGCACGGGACTCCTTGTTCTCCTGGATCATCTTGTACACCTCTGAGTCCCTGTCAAATCTTTGCATGGCGAAGTCAGAGCTGGAACTACTGCAGAGGGGGAAAAACAAAGCAACAGATCAAAGGTTATTACAGACTGGAGATAGGAGGGCAAACCAGTCTCTACTCAGGCATTAGATAACCAACAAGAATTCTTTGGTTTTCAAGGTTGAAAGGAAGCTGCAACCACTAAACCATAGTGAGCATCAATAAAAAAAAAAAAAAAATTTGTTATACACAAGAAACCGAAAATATAAATTAGCACTATTTAAATTAAAAGTAAAAAAAAAAAAAAAAAGAACTGCATGTCCCTGCCACAGGAGCTGTGCATTAAAAGCTGTATGTAAAAGTGAGTTTTTGCTGAACCAGTCGGGCAGGATTTCTCCCGTCGGGCCAGGTGTGGTTTGGTGCCTTGTTGATGACATCGAGTCACTCAGAAACAGTCAACGAAACCTGACAGCCTGTCCAACCTGCTGCCACTTCCATCAAAATACCTAGAGGTAGCCATCAACACACACGTGTTGTGTGATGATTGTGTATCAGTTAAAACAGCTGCACTGGAATAAGGTATGAGAAGCTGCTCCCTTTGATATAAGCAGCAGAGAGTCAATGTGGATAGATTTTTGTGGCACAATATGCACATAACTTAAGCATGTTTTAACACACAAAGCTTTATCACAATATATAAATTCCTTTTTTTTTTATATATATATATATATATCTTTAACAATACTGACCTGGAACTGGCCTTAAATTAGGGCTGAGCGGTTAAACGATTTATGAAGATTTAACTTTTTGGAAAATCAGGAGCTTTTTTTCCCAAACTATAGAACTTCTTTGGCTTTCATAGCACAGAGTGACATCAGTTCATCACCTTTGTCCTTAGAAGTTTACTCATTAACCAGCTGTGTATTGTCACTGGCTGCAGACATTCAGTGTTTTATAGTTATAGTGATAAAGATGATTGTTTTACTACTAAAATTAAGGTGTCATCCCAAAGGAAGGAAATAAAACATAATTTAAAGGTATTGTGTGTCATTTTTAATTGTATTACAAAACCCTACCTTAAACTTGATATATATAATTTGATATATTTTGTATATATTTTCATAGGGTAATATACTGTAGCAAATACAAACCACCGGAAATCTGATAAGACAGTTAACTTGTGAATATTTTACCTTAAATATTATACCAATGTCAAACCTTTGATATCTTTGTTCATTAAATTTACAAAAAAAAAAAAATACTTTAACACTAAATGGAGATAAATTTTTGTTTTGTATCTCAGCTTTAAATGTAATTGTTTTTTGGTTACACATCTGGGGGAAAAAAACAGAATTTGAAGAGATTCAATAGTGACTTGTAATAAAATAGATAAAAAAAATAAAGTCTGAGGTTTTCTAAGCTCGAATTTAATCTCTGTTGGAAGTTTTTAGGCTGAACTGTTCCTCAGCCTTAGAAAGTTCACTGTTTAACATGGTTTCAACAGAAAACCAAACAAACATGCTTTAGGCCTTTCCTCTGCATCAATGAGCTGAGGTCCAGATTAAAAACAGACCTCTGAAGCTCGACATCCAAGTTTTCCACATGCAGAGCTCCACCCAAAGCTACCCACTTCCCTCTTTTCCTCTCACATTATTCCAACATGCAGTCATAAAACAGCTGAAACCAACAACTAAAGAAAGAATACCTTAAGAAGCAGTGAAAAACACTGACAGGTAGTGAAAACGTAAAGAGATGAGATACAGTATCAGAGCACGTGGATGCTTCCTAAACACTCAGGGTTGAGCTAAATGTCACGTTGTTAACAGGCAGTTGAAAACACCACTAACATCTGACACAAAGCTGCAGCTGGCTGCGCACCCAGAGAAGCTATGATAACAATCTAGTCAAAGTAGGGACTCAACATGCATGTAGACAAAACACAGATCAAATAGCTAAATTCCAAACCACAAATCTGGACCCGATTTCCTGCTGATGCAAAAATGAAAAAGAAAAAAGAAAAGAAAAATCACACTTTGGTATTGAAGTAAAATCTACATGACAACTCAATGACTCACCTCAAAAATATAAAATAAATAAAATGAATAAATCCACAGAAAAAAGTCCTTTTATTTTCAAGTCAATTTCTGAAACAACTCAGAAAATAAGAGAAAACAAATACCAATATTAGCAGAGACCTCACTTTAAACCAGCTGAGACAGAAAAACAGGACTGTGAGTGAAAGGTGTGCCCTGGGCTGAAATTCATTGGCCACGCAGCATGAAGGGGCGTCACTGCTTCTTTGACTGGCTGCAGACAAGCAGGGAGAGGCTTATTGTGCTGGCTGGGGGCTACAGAAAGGGGTCCGATCAGGGGGAGAAGTAATTGGTCTTTGTTGGTGAATATAAGGTTTTTGGATTGGAAGTATGGCTGCTGACATGACATAGAGCTAGCCTGGGTTAACCAGCAGGGAAAGAGGGCCAAAGCCAAACATCCTGGGCTGTGAAAACACAGGCACCAGCTTCTCCTGCAGGATAAAAAGGATTACAAAAGAAGCTAAAAGCAACATTTTTACTTCTGCTGAGACCAAATACATTCCACAGAGAGTTAAGAAAGAAAGATCTGCACACTGGAAAAATGAATCAGATTACAGCTTCATTAACTGTGAGGGTGCGGCTCTGAAACTCTGCAGAGCCTCAGAGTGAAACCGTACAGAGTTCCAAAAGACTGACAAGGTGCTCATATCCAGAGCTATCAGAGATGTGTGCAAAACTATTGTGTAGCTAAAATGATGTGTTGTCCAGACACATCAGGCCTGAGCCAAAATAATTTCCTGTCTATTTTCAATGGCTTGCCCACAGGTTACACGGAGCTTATTATGATCACACAAACATATCCCATAAGGCGAAACAACTACTCCCAGCTCATGATAAGACAACTTATCACACAATCTGATGCTGCCATAAAACTAGTTTCATTTTCTGTGTCACCAAGTAATGACAAACACTTCCAAAAAGGCAGTTGGCCTATAAACGGAGCACTTCGTACTATGCCTCGACTTTGCCTCGACATGCTCGTACGCTCTGTATTTTTGGGTATTCTGAATCGCAACTGTTTACAGGCCATCCTCAGACATTGACTGTTAAACTTTAGTTCCAAAAATCAAACCAAGGGTCCTCCTCAGACAAAAAAAGGGGCAAATGCTGTTGTTTAGGTTTGAGCTTTTTCCTCTGTAATATGTAGGACACATTCATTCATGCTGCCACTGCTTTATTGCATCATCATAGGTTAAGACTTTATGCTACAGTGGCTTGCAAAACATTCATATCACTAAAACTTTTCTACATTTTGTCACAATATGTGAAAAAAAAGGTATACCGTTGTGAAGTAGAAATAAAACAAAATGTGGTTGAAACATTGTAAAAATTATTCAAAACAAAAATCTTAGAAGTATGGTGTGCTTAAGTATTTAGGCCCTTTTTTCTGAATGCAACCAAATACCTCTAGCAGTTGCCTAATGACTGCTATTGACTAAATAGACTTCACCTGTGTGTAATCTAATCTCAGTGCTAATCCAACTGCTCTGTAACAGCCTCAGAGGTGGGTTAAGGGAACAATGAGGAGCAAACAGCGTCATGAAGAGGTGGAGAAGTTTAAAGCAGACAGGCTGTAGAAAAATTCCCAGCTTTGAACATCTCATTAAACATTGTTCAATCCATCGTCTGGAAATGGAAAGTTTATGGCACAGCTGTAAACGTACCAAGACAAGGCCGTCCACCTAAAGTAACAGGCTAAACAAGGAGAGCATTGATCTGAGATGCAGCCAAGAGGCCTATAATGAAAACAAAAGATTTGAGACTGGGGCAGAGGTTCACATTTCAGGGGGACAACAACCCTAAACATAAAGCCGGGGTTACAATGGAACGATTAATTCATGTGTTAGAATGTCCCAGTCAAAGTAATGACCTAAACCCAGTCAAGAGTCTGTGGCAAGAGCTGAAATCTGTCTTCACAAACACTTCATCTAATCTAAATGGGCTTAAGCTGTTTTGCAAAGAATTAACTAAAATTTCTGTCATTAGATGTGCAAAAATAGGAGATGCATAAAGGACTTGCAGCTGTAATTGAAAAAAAAAGAAAGTAATTTCCACAAAGTATTGACTCAGAGGGATGAATACTTTTGCACCATACCATTTTTAGAAAGTAAAAAAAAAAAAAAAAAAAAAAAGAAATGGAAAAGGAAGTCATTTACAATCATACATTAAATCCCTTCCCTTTAATACTAGAAAATGACAAGGAGCAAAGACAAACTTCTCATTTTTAATGGAGGACTGTTTTCACTTCTGTCCCTTTTCTAAAGAGAAACTGAATAAACCAAATTTCTTAACTGAGATTCCCCAGAATTCATATAGAAAATTAGAAAACTGTTGTTGGTCACTAAATGGGGTCTAAATCACAATGTCAGGAGTGTTTACCTGCGGCGAGGAGACATGGGAACATCTCGATCAGTGGGGCTATGAGGTGAGTAGCGCTCTGGAGGGATTGGGGTCCTGCTGGACCCAGAGGGAAATGGAAAAGGAAGTCATTTGCAATCATACATTAAATATTTATATGTCACTTTAAGTTAGTCTTTGAGATAATATTCCAATAGAATAAATTTAGATTTTTGTTTGTAATGTGTAAAAGTTAAACTGGAATGATTAATGCAGCAAGCCGCTCTATTTCACTGATCAACAATAGTTTTTTTCCCAAGTTGGTTAATTCATATTAACATTTTAACACTGCTTTTTAAATGTATAATTACTAGAATTTCTCCCCTTTACCAGCATCATTCTGTAGACCCTGCTTCTCTGAGGTTTAGCTCAAAACCATTCATGTTGTCTACAGTAATACGCCAAAACTGCTATTTCATCAACCATGATGCTATGAATCATTTTAATGACACATTGAGGCCATATAAAGGGACTTTCAGTTTAAGAACAAGAACCTCAGGGGTCCAAATGCTGATAATTCAAGGTAGTTTAAAAATGCTCACTAAATGGGGTCTAATTCACAATGTCAGGAGTGTTTACCTGCGGCGAGGAGACATGGGAACATCTCGATCAGTGGGGCTATGAGGTGAGTAGCGCTCTGGAGGGGTTGGGGTCCTGCTGGACCCAGAGGGTTGCCTGAAGTCTGAAGGAAAGAACTCCTAAAATAACAAAGAAAAAATACAATTATCAAAGGGAAAATAAGAAGTAGAGATTAAAGGCCTCAACATACCCTGGAAAAACAAAATACAGTTTTTCCTCCCAAGCAGAGAGAACTACTTTCTTCTTTGTTGTCAGACACATTTTAGGGGACTTGTCACAGCTTCGACATGTGCAATGTACTTTAACTTTACAGGGAAACAACATTTCCTATCCAGAAGTCAAACTAATTGAAATGTTCTTATGTAAGATCTTTAGAGTAACTTCAAAACCTGTTTTCTGAATCTGACAGAAAAGTCAAAACAACCTAAAAATAAAGTTAACATTATATACACAAGATAAACACAAAGATATTAACGGATATCCTAAATATTGCATTGAAAAACTAGAAAAGCACTCAGAGAGCACAGACCTCTGCCAAGGACTTACACCTGAAGCTAAAACTCACATTATCTGGATCATCAAGTTTAAATGATTGATCCTTGGCAGCAGTGATAAAAAGATTCATTAAAATCCATTCGTAACTTTTCAACTTTTCCTCTGGCCAGACAGAAATACACACACAAACTTTCCTTAAAGCAATAATCAATCGGTAACTATTGAGATCAAAATGATATAATTGAAAAATAAGGAGAGCATAACAGTTTAATATAGCAAATATAATCCATTATGTGTTTAATAACCTGACTTTCCAATAATAAATAACATCCATCTCTGCTGGCTGATCAGCATCAGCAGCCTGCATTCTTTCCAAATCACCTTTAATAGTAAATAATCTGCTTCATTTCATCACGCAATTTTAGCCACTCCAGATGTTCAGATATTCTGTGTTTGTTATATAAATGAGCTTTACAGCCCTTTAATAGTTTTCAGTTACAAGTCAGAAAAGCGCATCATTAACATCAGAGTCACAGTAAGCAAATTTACATGTATGGTGTTATCCTACCAGAAGATGGCGCCACCAGCCAAATTAACACTCAACTAATGAATAACATAGCTGAACATATTTGAACAGATGTTTTAGCTGCTTGTGGAAAAAGATGCCAAATCAGGAAGAAATTGTTGCATTAGGAGTAATGGCTAATATATTTAACTTATATCATATCTGTACAACAAGATCATATAAAAATAGCCTCAACTGCAAGTGTGTACAAACTGTGAACACCAGGACAAGATCTACACGGTGCATACATCATTCAAGACACTTTTACTGTTAGGAATTCCACAAACATAAGGCTGTCGTCTAGTTCTAACCATGTCCACCTGTAAAGCCGACCACCTCCTGATCCCTAAAAACATGTTATTCACCTCAACAGGCAACATTTTTCAAATGAAAAATGTCTCCAAACTTCAACATCTGGTTCAACCCTCACCATATTTGTCAATAAAGCTAATAAAACACTAATAGAAACACAAGAAAGCATCTTGCACAATAAAGCTTAGTGAAATCTCCCTTTTCAGTCATCAGCTGGCATCAGTGTTAAACAGGCTCAATCCAGGAGAAATAAATGACTCCACCCAACTGTTCAGGCAGTCTGAGCTGATGGTGGAAGCTGACAGAAACGCAGTGCCACGGATGAAGTAGAAGATTTGTGTTGCCTGTTCCAGCACCCGCTTTCAATTCAGCAGTTCTTTGAACAATAGCTCTGTTCTCAATTGGGTCCAATTTTCCTTCACTTTTTTTCTTTCCAGAGTGGGCAGATTAGTGGTGCATGCCAGGAAGCTTCTACAAAAAAAAAAAAAACGATCATTGGGATGGCTCCCTGAGAATTTCTTCCCTCATAAAAAATCCAGTAATATGACTCAAGACTCAGAGGATCCATCAGACTCCACAAGTACTCATCTTTGTGCTCTCCTGCTGTGAAGCAATCTAAAGTCCATATACCTGACAGACACAGATGCTTAAGAAACATTTTTTCAGATAAACCAACTGAATCCCAACAGTATGTGCTTATAAATCCCAGCTAATGCAAAGAAGGTGCATCTTGCACAACTCACTGCAGATCCACAGCAACCTTATGGAAAAGAATGTCTTCTAGAATTCATGGGGTCAGCATTTTGAAGCCCGTCTCTAATGGTTTGGTCAGACATCCACGGCAGTTGTCCACTGGAGCTCATTGGGTTTTGGTAGTAGTCATACCATTCTTTGTTGTACAGAGGAGCAAATACTGGTCCTGCTGATTGATTAAAGATCTCCAATGACCAGCTCTCCTAGAATAATTGCCTGTGTCCTTGAATGTCATGCATGCTCTTGCAACATATTCTCACTCCCAACTCGTCACATATTGAGACTTGGTAGAAGTTCCCTGTGCATCAAATACTGATGCGGGGGGTACCCCACACATAAATGATAGGTTGCATACAGTGTATCACGTGACCCACAAAAGCAACAAAAAAATGATGTTTAGCGTAAAAAGTTAATGTGGGAGCTTTAGAACATTTATACTACTGTTTCTTTATGGTAGGGTAAGGGATGGATTGGTGGTGTTTTTACTTCACAGCTCACGTACAAATGTTTGGAAGTTCCTGCTACAGACTGTCATGAACCCTGTGTATCGGTTAGTGAGGAATTGACCAAGCGTCACTAAATGATGAGTAGGGAGTGAGAATGAGTGTGTTCTTGGGTCTCTGCTGGGAGATAGAGCAAATCTTCATCCAATGACATATTGATGTTTCATGCTGGTGAAGTTTAACTGCTGTGCAACCTCTTAACACAATGGTTTAAGCTGCCAGTAGTAATACTGACTCTGGGCAAATGTAGATCTACCAAAAATCAGTGTGGCCTCCCATTCTTGCTTTGGGGCTTTGAATTATGGTTCCTGTAGTGTACCCATTTTAAACCCATCTGTACATCCCACTTTTATCACACCCAAACAGCTGACACTTATACCGTACCCTCTACTACTTCACAGACCAGATTGGTGATTAATTTCATATCTTTTTATATATAAAATTAACAAATAAAAAAAAATACTTCATGTAATTTTAAGCGTATTACTCACAGTTAACTTAAAAGCAACAATGCATTTGATAACTGTGGTCTTGGCAGTTGCAACAATGTCCACTCTTTTTATTCCCCAGCTAATGTAGGCCTGTTTTGTTTGTTTTTGTCTAGGATATCAACATGGCCATAGAAGGGAGGGCACGATGAAAACTATCAGCCAGTTTTCAGCGGTTCCTGTGGATGCCAAGAGGAGGAAGCTTTGATTAAAGCTGTTCAGAACTGTAATCAAAAGTTCATAGTCAACAAACCCAAGATCATTAGGGCAAGCCTTTGGTATGCTTCCCTGGCTTTAAGCAGCACATACCACTTACTGCTTGTTACTTTACAACATATAAGCTTTTAGCTACTGAGGAATAAGAGCAGATACAATAAAAACATGGCTGTTCTTTTATGATGTCTTTTACAAACAGCATTACTAAAATAAAAGACATTATATAACTGTCTTATGTTTTTCATGGGAGAAGTAGGGTTTTTTTGCACAAATTGTTCATAGACTGGTAACACTTTAGTGTCCAATGTAAATCTTGGCCAAATAACTTATTGCTACTTTGTGTTTTAAATCCCTGGCCTTTCTTTCCACAAATCCTGTCTTGGTGCAGAAAGACAGCTGCAGTAAAGATGCTCCCCATGTCTAATATTTATTTTAATAATCCTTTATTTAATTTATACTAAACCCAGATGTTGAAAAGAAACTACTACTACAAGATGTTTAAAAGAAACAAAATAGTTTCATTTAGAAGACTATTACAAGCTGGAATCTGGGCGTGTTTTAGTCCTCCAAGTCAATAAGGATGCCAGGTTATGCATTGCACGAAACTCAGAAGTTGCTTACATGCAAAACGAAGGAGCAAAACACTGAGGAAATGATAAACTAAAGTAAAAGGATGGCTGTCTGAGACCCATGGTAGACACTGGGTACAATGCCAGGAGATGAGACTTCAGTCTGGCTCCAAGCAAACCGCTTTGCATCATCATTACCACCCTGCAGATTCAATTACAGGGCATTGGCTGCAGCACATAGGAGTGATGCCTTGAGTAGCTTTTATTTTGGGAAGTCTGGTGCTGCTGTGAGAGGGTGCAATAAATGCTGATTCTGTATTTACCATAGACAGGAATCCAACATTACAATAGTGTTTTGGGCTCTCTTATAATCAGAGCAGTCTATGCGGCCCTGCTGTCACTGATGGACTGCACCATTGCTTGGTGCACATGGTGCATTGCTGCTACCAAACCTGGAGATAATTAAGACATTAAAAAAATGGCTGTTAGGTTCCATCATTAACACTCACCATTGTCATCCAACTTTTGCAGCTTTTTAGAAACTATAAAATATAGTGTCTACTACAAGAGGAGTGAGTTAGAGTACACATGGACATATACATGTTTTCAACTGTTTCTATGCTCTAACTCTAAAATGTACCCTTAATGTAACCATTAACAGTGGATACTTCACCCTAACCCAATTGATACCTCAGCCCTAAACCTGACCTTTAAGAAAATACCTTGTGCGGATCAGCAAAATGTCCTCACTTTACAACAACCAGTTCTCAATGTGAAATCTGAAAATTGGTCCTCACTCTGATTTCTAGACAGATACACACACACACACACACACACCCAAACCATCAGACCAATCTATCCAGCACATGCTATGCATACCAGTTTATTATTTTGCCCTTACACAAAACAAAATGTTCTGGTCTGATCAGGCTACACCCATCACACTTGCTGTAACAGTAGGAAAATGTTTCCTAATTCTAATTGCTTACCATCTAGAGCAGAGCTATAAACCCTTTTTGTAAAGCCCAGAAAACCTACTGAGGCTTCATTACTGCATTAAACCAACAGTAACCATTTTTTGGGGGATCAAGGTGGTATTGTAAAGGGAGAAAAATGCAAGATAGCAAAATGAAGAGAATACTGCATAGGAAACAGTCCCAGGCAGCAGGCAAATGCTAGCATTGAACTTCACAGACTCAGATATGTTAGGGTGCAAAG